CGTATTCCCAATAATTCTACTAAGTATCATATCATTATGAATTAGTTCAACATTTGGCATAAAAATTGCCTAATTTTCCTGGACTATTGTACCCTACTTAGCTGGTTACTGCTGCTATGCAGTTTTCAAGAAAATTAAATGTAACTTTTGCAGGGAATTAATAAAGTGTACAGAGAGGGAAGATAATTCTGCCAGATAGCCACAACTACATTCGGTGTATAAGCGGAGGTTCTCTGTTGTATCCAAATGAAACTGCAACAAACATTGTTCTATACAATTATATTATTGTTAGCAAATTGACAAAGCAATTTTTTTTCCTCATTGTCAACCAGCGAAACTTAGCAATGGACATTTCGTTGAATGTTTTGGCAGATAATGAGGCTCTTTTTCCCAGCGACTTTTGTGGTGGTGGTCAAAGTACGGAAAAGGTACAAACCGTGCTGCTATGGGCTTCTTCTAATGCTCTGCTAAACAATTGTTGTGCTAGGGAGAACAATAACATAGCTGCCACCAAGAACTTAGGGAAAAAAGATAACTTCAAACATTAAGTTAGGTGTTGTAAACAACAAATAATGTATATAAAGTCAAAAATTTGTCTGGTAAATAAATGTTAGTATCCATTGTTAACGTCACTGTTTTAGTTCATGAATTTTGAGGAGGAAAAAGGGCATTATTTTTAAGGATGACATTGGTATCTGTTGGCCGCGCGGTACTAGAGATGATGATGATGTCACGCGAGAGCGTGACGGGTGAAATAATCTGAGTGAGGCCATCTTCACGTGATTCCAAAAGAACGCGAAATTAACTTGGACCTTGAGGGTGATGGCGGCCGGTTAATGTTTGTGTGTGCGTGTGTGTGTGTGTGAGTGATAACTGGTGGTGTAATGGTCAGCATGCTCGCGGACCCGGGTTTGATTCCCGGACTGGGTGAAACTATGGGAAAGTTTCTTTACGCCATTTGCCTGTCTACCCAGCAGTAATTGGGAACCTGGGTGGTTAGCCAGTGCTGTTGGGGAGTTGTCTGGTCTTCTCGGACTATTCTTTGACACTGGGTCATGCAACTCGTTAACTTGGTGTGTGGGTGTTGTGTTGGCGACAGCTTCTACACCTTAAACAAATTCACTCCTAGGTGGCCCTAGGGCCGGCCATCCTCGATTTTGAGGGGCATCCATTATATAACAGCTACTTCAAATTATAACGAAATACAGGTCACATTTGGTCACCTGAGAACATGCAAGTGGCTGTCACTAATATTGATCAAAATATTGTTGCGAGAATGGTCACAATGGCCACAACTTGTCACAATGGCCACCTCGTCTCAATGACCACAACTTGTCACAATGGCCACAGTTCATCACAGTGGCTACCTCATCAATGGCTACAGTTCGTCATTGTGGCCACTTAGTCATAATGACCACCTCATCAATGACCACAATGTGTCACTGGTCACAATTGTCACAACTTAGCACCGTGACCACAATTTGTCAGTGGCCATAATTCGTTACAATGGCCACAACTCATTACTCTGGCTACAATTCGTCAAAATGGCCACATTTAGTTACATTGGCCATAATTCGTCACTTGTCATAATTTCACAATGACCACAATTTGTTACAATGGCCACAGTTTGCCAAAATTGTAGCAACTTGCCACAATGGCCACAACTTATCACTCTGGCCACAATTTGTCACAATTGGCGCAACTTGGCACAATGGCCATAATTCATCACAATTGCCGCAACTTGGCACAATATCCACAGCTCATCACTCTGGCCACAATTTGTTACAATGGCCACAATTTGTCGCAATGGCCTCAATTCGTCACAATTGCTGCAACTTGGTACAATGGCCACAATTTGTCACAATGGCCACAGTTTGTCACAATGGCCACAATTCTCCACAATTGCTTCAACTTGGCAGTCAACGGCTCATCACTCTGGCCACAATAGTCAAAAGGGGCACAACTTTCATCGCGTCATCAACACAGACATGCATAACCCTATGTGAACAAGAGTTGGTTGCCTGGAAAAGTATCTATGGTGACGTTGTTGACAAGTCAGACCTGGCTGGATCCTAGGTGACGGGCATTGTTTGAAAGAAGGGAGCAACAACAGAGAGAGAGAGAGTAATCTTTGGATGGACACAGGAATATTAAAACACTTATTGTGTCCATTCCCTGTTATTTTATGGTTGGTTGTTGGGTGTAAGTAAAGCCTGAGTGTTTGCACATATAAACCTTAAAAAAAGGCAGGCAAATAGGTAAGAAAAAATCATAATGAGCTACTTATAACCGAAAACAAAAATGTAATCTATTTTACTTAGAAAATAATCAGCCAAGCATAATGCACATTACATAATTTTTATTGAACAAAAAAGTAGATAATTGTATGATATGATTAGTTGTACATTTTTCAAAGCAACACCATCCTGCCTATAGATTTTTTTTGCCAGAATAGCAAAAAAAAACACAAAAAAACAGCAAATATGTACTGTATAGTCAATTTAAACAATTTCTGAACATCTGGGCTATATTTATCTCACAGGTCCCCATGGCGTTTATGCCCGAAGGAGGTTTCCAATAACAGCATGATACTATATTAAATCGCTCAAGCTCAGCTAACTTTTACCAATTTGGTCCTCCAGCTCACTAATGATATCTCCATTACTGTATGGTAAATGACTTCCTGTGCATTAAAGGTTTTTCATCTCATCATAGTGCAGGATTACTTAACTTTTACTTTTTACTTTTATCCTCTTCGCTACTGATCGGCTCGTTAGCCGCTTGAGCGGTCGGTCACGCCTCTGTTACGCACTGTTGGCGAGTATTGGGCATGCACTAGCTCCTGAATATATCAGAACCTACTCCAGTGTTGGTCAAGTCTGGCCTTGAATGAGCTCTTCACTCGGTGCCGTCACAACACACACTGGTAGATTGTTCCAAGAGTTCACAATTCTCACTCCAAAAAAATTTGCCTCACAGTTTTCTGGGCTTGTGGCTTCTTCAACCTTGAGCTGTGACTCCATGTGGGGTGGACATCTGCCAGCTCTAGGTATGTGCATTCGAGAGTAGTGCCCCCTTAGATGTTTATACACTTCGATTAGGTCACCCCTCGCCCGTCTGTAGTACGTATAAGCTAGGCAGTTGCAGGCGTTCTAATCTCTCTGGGTAACTGAGATTCCGTAGAGCAGGCACCAATCTGGTGGCCCTCATTTGGACATTTTCAATCAATTGGCAGTCTCTAGCATACCTCGGGGACCAGACAGGGTGACAGTACTCCAGATGGGGAAGCACCTCGCTCTTGAAGATCGTGACAAGCAATGGACCATCCAGATATCTAAACGACCTCTTATAACACCTACTAGTTTTGTTGCCTGATTCACCTTCTTCTCACAGTGGCCCGAGAACTTAAGTTCATTGTCGACATGCACACCCAGGTCCTTTTCACATTCGGTCTCTTTTAATACAGTTTCTTCATTCTGCTGGGACATGTGATACTCCTCCTTACTGATGGTGCGACCCAGGTGCATTCTTTTGCACTTCATTACATTGAATCCTAAGACAAAACTCATTTATGTGTTTTATACTTACCGTAGTATCCTCTAAAATTTACAGTTCATCTTTACTCTCTGTAAGCTTCTTATACACTCAATATACCCCATTTTCTGAAAATATTAAAATGCCCTTTTCTACATTAAGCTGGCCTATTATACTTGTATACTAAGCAAGACCCATCCATATACTGTACATATACAGTCAACCCTCACTTTACGCGGTTAATGTAACCCACAGGGTACCGCGGAAAGTGAGAAACGCGTAAAGTGAATAACATAACATATGGGATTAAATGAAATAGAGACCAGCTGACCCCCAAACTCCACTTTTTCCAACACAATACCTATGTTCTAGTAAAAATAACATCTTAATTATGATGGTACATGCACACAATTAATACTTAAGAGAAATAGAGAAATACAGTCGCCAAGTTAATGTCCATTCAAATAATGGACTCAACTCCCTCCCCCTCTTCTCACACTACACTCGCTGGCTCTTCCCTCTCTGAGAAATTTTTGGGGGAAAACCAGGTATGGTAATAAATAATACCTCAAACTAAAGATAGGATAATATAATTGACATTGCTGGATTCCTTGTAAGACCAGGAATATTTTGAATATAAATGTCATATATTTTGCACAAAAGATAACATATTTACTCAGAGTAAACATTATATCTAAAATTTGTATGTCTAATGCAAAATCTATGATGTTTATATTCAAAATGATCATCAAATTGTAAGAATTCCAGCAATGTAAATTATATTCTGACCGGGTAATTTGTATGAATTTTATGAGCTAAAACAAATATCTTCAGTTAATAAAAAAAAAATATTCTTCACACCCTGGTGCCAGGTGGTCGGTCGCCCGTCCCTCCTTCCCACCCACCCCCCACCAGCCCTCTCTTCCAGATGAATGTGTGGGAATACCAGAATGTTTACCTTTTTAGTAATAAATAATAAATCAGACTAAAGTTAGGATAATATAATTGACATTGCTGGATTCCTTGTAAGACCAGGAATATTTTGAATATAGATGTCATATATTTTGCACAAAAGATAACATATTTACTCAGAGTAAACATTATATCTAAAATTTGTATGTCTAATGCAAAATCTATGATGTTTATATTCAAAATGATCATCAAATTGTAAGAATTCCAGCAATGTAAATTATATTCTGGCCGGATAATTTGTATGAATTTTATGAGCTAAATAAAAAAAATTATACTTCACCCGTGTAAAGGGGTACACCCACCGCGGAATGTGAGCATCCTGGGTTCTGGCAGGGCACCGTGTAAACATGTGGAAACGCGGAATGTGGGACCGCGTAAAGTGAGGGTTGACTGTACACTAAACTGGCCCTCTATAGATTAAGGTGGCCACCTGTATAGGACACTGATCAAATGGTCTTGATGATGGCCACTAAACTCTCCTTATCGTCGTACAGACTGGCAGAAGCCCCATGGAGAGAGGAACATCGTGCGGGCCGGGGCGCCGGTCCGACCAGCCGCCATACACTACAACCTGCCCCATGACATCGACTACCACCCCTACTCCAAGTTTACCAGCATATACTTCAAGGTAGGCGAAGAGGGATTAAGGTGTGCATCTGCTTCATGGTAAGATCGAGGGGAGAGAGGCAAAGTATTGTAAAATTTGGGTTGGCCGAGGAGGAGGGTGGAGAATTAGGGTAGGGACAGCAGTAGGAAAGGATGGGAAGGGGTTGATTTAAAGACATGGTTCAGATACTGTGATGCAAAGGGAAAAGTTGAGGTTCGGGTATGTGAGGGAGGAACATTAAGGTAAGGAGATGGTATTATGGAGGAACTTTAAGGTAGGAAGGAGATACGGCTGTTTAGTATTATGATAAGGATTACATGTGATATAGAAAGTAGGTGGAATTAGTGTTGGCCTACAGTATTACCCCAATAATGTATTATCATCTACGGAGAGTCGGGCACCATCACTCTCCCTTTCAAGTACGTACATATGTGAAGTATAGTGAAAGAATTCTGTCTGTTATCTGGTGATGTAACTCATATTAAAGCAGCAGGAGCTTCAAAGTGTCCTCCTCCCAACAGTCACACATCTGGGGGATGAAACGGGAGCCCATCAAGACTCCCTTCTTGTCCAAATCGAGGGATGCCGACTACAGCGACTCCCTTGCCGTGTTCAAGCTCATCCTGCGGTTCATGAACGACCACACACTCTCCGGTGTCAGGGAGACTGTCCTGGGCAACTACATCGCTAATAAGGTACCTTATTTAACATCACTCTTGTTCCTTGTTGTCTTATGTCACCTAACACTCGTTATCACATATAAGCTCAAGTAACAATACTGTATGTAGTCAGTAAATTATTATTGTTTTGTTATTAGGATTTCCTTAGTCATTTTGCCAACCAACGTGTTTTAAATTTGTCATAATTTTCACTGAATTTCCTTTAAAGACCCAGAGTATATATTTGAGATGATATTTGGTAATTATTATACAGTATTTGTATTAGACTGGTGACATGTATTCACCAAGAACATAGACTAATGCACCCTGACTAAGGGCACACAGTGGCTTCAACAATAAGCAGTAACCTTTGGCTTGTGATGCATGATGACTCCATGACCCGAACTTGATACAGGGGCTAATGAACGACAGGATGCAGGACGAGATTCTATGTCAACTGTGTAACCAAACGTGGCGCAACGACAACACAGCTAACGCTGAGCGAGGCTGGGTGCTCCTGGCCAACTGTCTCTCTGTCTTTCCCCCATCATCCACACTCTACAAGTACATCCTCAAGTAGGTGCATCCTCTACCTTGTCAATATGTCCTCTACTGTGTTGTTGCTTCCTCTTATCCAGTAGTGCCTCCTGGTCCCTCTGAAGTCATAAATACTTGTACTTCTTAATTATTTCTCAGAAGTTATAACATCTAATTACAATACCCTTAAATAACTGTCAATACCTTCCTTTTTAAGCATTTATCTTCCAGTCATGTTCACCATGTGAATTCTAAAGTATAAGTCATGTATCTTTGTGTGAGCATATGTACTATTTATTTATCTTGAAAGCTGTGTCTTTCACTTAAATGCTGGTGCTTGGAGTGATCCCATGTCTGTGTTCCCACCAGACACGTGTCAGACCACGGACTCAATGGGTACGCGGGACTGTGTCAGCGGAAGTTGCTGTCCTCTTACAAGAGATCGTCTGGAGTGGCCCGCTCCTTCCCTCCCACAGACCTGGAATGGCGAGCCAATCGCAAGAGGGCGCGCATGGCCCTGGAGGCGCGCTTCCCAGATGGTGAGTGCTTACCAACTTGTTGACTGATGTTGAAGCATATAAGAGAGATATATGTAGAAAGACAAAGATCGATAAATGTTGTGGTAGAGACAAGGAGAATTTAGATACAGGTATAACGGTAGAGATGCTGTACGTACTTTTAAGAGCGAAGGGTATTCAATGTATGATTCTTTGTCAGAGTAAAATCGGAGCTCCACAACTACAGTACAGCCCAGCACATTCCTTGGTGATAACATGTCTGCAGTTGCAGATGTAAATTTATAATACAAATAGAAAGCAGTGGTGTAGCATGATGGTGAAATAAGAAATAACACTTAAATACCAGAGATTATTAGTATTAAAAGTTCATATATGTGTGATTCCTAATTTAGATTTATTATCTTAATCCCCAAACTTTGTCAAATATTTTTTCTTAGGAGATACTAGTGAGGTCTTCAGCTTAACTGGTCACTAGTACTGGTACATTTGATAAATGTGGTGGTTACTCACCAAGTCACTTGTTATTTGGGGATGCTTTCATCATTTCCTATGTATAGGGTTGACTGCACTGCACCTATAGCTTGTCTCTGCTCATTAAATGATTATGTGCATCAATATATCTACACAGATTATAGTGGTTTCCTAGCTATGTGTAGGAAGACCAGTGGTAGTTATTATGACAGTACAGTACACTGCAGTACACTACAGTAGTGTATCTTAAATACGTACTGTATGTTGACGAGCTGTCAAACTGGACGGTACTTCTTATACAGCTAAGATTTTTTATTCTTGTATTTATGTACAGTGCTAGTAATAATTTAGTATTTAATAAATTTTAAAATATTTGTTGCATTAAGAGTACAGGTACATATATTCATCGGGCAAGTATAGATACAGTATTTGGGCTTTGTGTTTTATAGCACGAATCTCTTGAAGATATTTAAATTTTCTGTGAAAGTCAGAAGCAATGTACTGTACATGTATTGGAAATAAAAAACATTGCCTGTGATCTTGAGCAAAATCTTGTCTTGTACATACACCGTACAAAGTACCTACAGCCAAATATTAACGTGAACCTCTTCATAATCTGTTAAGTTATGGAAAACTACTTAATCTCATACTCATTAATATCTTGATCATCACAGGCAATGTGGGCATAGGTGAAGTAGACTCGTGGACCACAGCCGAGGAGTTTGCTTCAGGCCTGCTGGAGGAGAGAGGAGTCATTGAAACATCTGGCTGGACAGTCGCCATCATTGAGGACGACGCCATCACAGAAACACCAGGCCTTGAGTATGTCTTGGACCTTATTGGAGAGAGAGAGTTACCACCAGCCTTCCCTAAGTGCAACTCCAGCCTCCTTCCCACAGGTATTTACCCAACTCCTCATCTCACGACTGCTGAAGATTATGACAAATTTAATTATCCAGGTGCCTCACAGGACACAACAGTAATGGACAAATATCAAGTTAAAGTGGGGGGAGGATGTAATTTAGTGTAACATCAGTTGTCCGATATAAGGTAAAAATATGGTGTGGGTGTACTTGCAGATAGAACCATTGTTCCACTGGCAGTTAGATCATCATACAACTGAGACCTTTGGATATATATATATATATATATATATATATATATATATATATATATATATATATATATATATATATATATATATATATATATATATATATATATATATATATATATATATATATATATATATACATACACCTAAACCCCGACTTACGACGGGGTTAGGGACCCAAATCCAGGTCGTAAGTCCGATATGGTCGTAAGTCCGATATAGATAAAAAAAAAAAATCTACAATGAAATACAGTACAGTAAAAGTAATGAATAATGATGAATGGATACAGTACAGTGAAAGTAATAAATAATAAGGAATGGATACAGTGTGACTGAGAACTTACCCTTTAATGTAGTCAGCTGAATGCATGGGGCCCCCATAATTTTCTAATTATACATGGAGACTACATTAACTGGAAACGTTTCGGTATAGAAAATGCGTGTGTCATTTAAAAAATTTTTTTTTTTTTTTTTATCTATATCTGAGGCGGTCGTAAGTCCCGACGGTCGTAAGTCCACGTAGTCGTAAGTCGGGGTCTAGGTGTATATATATATATCCTAGAACACTACTCTCAGGTTTTTGTAACGGTTTCACTACCCCTCTGGTCCAACAGACCCAGAAGAGGAAAAACCTCTAATTGCAATTTTTTGAAACAAAATAATCTACATGAACTTAAGCTATCTTTTACATTTATAAGACATAAAAACACTGCGTTACAGAGACGTAACCGATCGCCCAAGTGGCAAACGAGCCGTTCATTTGGTGAAGAGGACAAAAGAAAAAGAAAAGAACAGAGACGTGACCGATTGCCCAAGCGGCTAACGAGCCAATCAGTGGTGAAGAGGATAAAAGTAAAGAAAATGTAAATTTAAGGGGTTACTGTAAAATATAAAAACAAAATCTATATGAAAAAAAGTTTTTACTTTAATTAACATAGCAAAGAAACTAATCGCTATATGAACTGAGCATTGTACTACGTAGCAGGAATTATCCACGTTGCATCTGAGTTATGTCGTTTGTGTGGTCATAAAGTCCTAGTTATGTGGTCATAAAGTCCTAGTTATGGAGATAAGGTCATGTGCTAAGAACTAAGTGGAGGTAAACACCTTGTTACAGGTCAGGTTAGAATAAGAATTATAAAGAAATAGGTTTATTCAAAGATTAGCCTCACAGCATAATTATCCTTATATTATCCTCCTTAATGTTAATCCAAACCTTATCCTTTCTAGCCTAATCTCACATTAGGTTAGCTTAACCTAACCAAACCTAAATTTCTCTCGTTTAGCCTAGTCTAACTTATGACCCCAGGTAGCATGAGGATCATCAGGTTAACATATAGTGTTACGAGTTGGGGATTTAGAATATAGTTAAAAGTCTACCCAGATCCCAACAGGCAACAACCAAAAAAAAACAAAGACAATCGGACTATAAAAGGGTAGACAAAGGATGCGAGTTTTTGTTGTGTATAATAAAGTACCATGAATCCCTTAACAAAATATTCAGCGTTCTATAATTTACCCTTAACCATACTTAACCTAAACATTAACATTATATACATATTTATACAACATAAACAATTTTGAAGCAAGTGGATGCGGGGAGGCAATATAAGATTACAAACACTTAAGTGCGGAGCTGAGATGGCTGACGAGTAAGGCTGAGTATTGTAGAAGACGGTAGGTAGTCACTGTGCCGTAGGTTTCCAGGATAGGTGATCCTGTGGTCACTTCCCAGAGTGAACTGCTCTCTCCTCGAACTGGAGCTGACAAAGAAGACTTTGAGGAGGTGACGCAACAACCAGGATATGGAGAAGGGAAACCCGGGAGTGGTAACTAAGACGAGTCATACTCGTGTTTCGTCCCTAGATGGCGTTGCTCGTGGTGCTGGGTAGGTAGATCAAGACAATAGATGGCGTGGTTCGTAGTGCTGGGTAGGTAGATCATGACAATTGGTGGCGGGGTTCGTAACAATAGGTAGATGGGATGCTAATATTTAATTGATTAAGAAATTAAGTTAAATCCAATAATCTAAGCAAATTTTTATATAGATGATATGAAATTTTCTTGTTATTTTTCATTTAAGTGATTATATTTCATTTATTTATTTTTATTGGTTTAGCCAGTTGTTATACTCACAGACTTGTCATTTACAGGAGCACAACCAGAACGTCGAGTCTCAGCACCTGTCCTACTGCCGCAGCTGGTCGTGACGGATGGCGAACCTATTGAGGAGTCCCCAGTGGTGGCTCGCAGGTACAGCTCTGCCCCCTCATTTATTAAAGCACATTATAGTTACTGTAGAAACCTTACTGAAAGACAGGTTAAGGTAGTATAGTACTGGTGATGTAGCAGCTGAAGTTAACATAGAGCAGTGTTGGGGATGTAGTAGCTTAAGGTAACATAGTATGGGAGATTTGGCAGCTTAGGGTAAAATAGGACAGTGGTCCCTCGGTTAACGAGCGCCTCGGTTAACGAGATTTCGGTTAACGACTTACCTTCCATAAGATTCTTAACTTCGGTTAACGAGCAATCCCTCGATTAACGAGTTTTTTACGAGCCGACTTCAACATGTTTTCGCTTGCATTTGGCGGTCCACCAGCTGTAGTATTAGTCCGCCAATACAGTAATCGGTTTTAGGGCTTAAATTCCTTACTATTTTTGTAAATATCAAGAAGCTTATACTATTCAATAATTTTAAAAGTTTAATATTAACTTTTTTAGTCATTTTAACAATTATTGAACATAATTGAAGGTAAAGAAACTAGTTTCTGGCGTGCCATCCAGCCTGTTAACACACCAGACAGGTGTTAGTCTCTCTCTGTTTTCAGTGGAGGTAACATCTTGCTTGAGACTCTCTTCAACTAAACGCTTTTTTTCTGTGTTTCCAAGCAAATTATTGGTCATTTTGAAATATATTTTACATATTGACAATATATAATGCAGTGCAGTGTTGATTAAAAGAAAATAATCTTGAAATACACCAAGAGAACTAAAATTTTATGGGTGAAATGGTGCCATGGGGTGACTTCTCTTCCACCCCAATGCCTTCTCTTCTCCCTTCTCCTCCACCCCCATTCTAATTCCCATCATCATCATCCAGGAGCCTTCTACATACACACCTCAAAGTAAGTGTACTTTTCTACCTTTTTTGTTGAATTTAGGCAATTTTCGGTGAGCTGGAACCAATTACCCAAAAACCCATTGAAACAATGGTTTCGGTTAACGAGCAACCTGCTGGAACGGATTGTGCTCGTTAACTGAGGGACCACTGTACAGTACCAGAGAATTGGCAGCTTAAGTTAATATGATACTGGAAATTTGGCAGCTCAGGTAATATTGTACCAGAGATTTGACAGGTTAAGATAAGTAAAGAGGCTATTGAAGAAGTAAATTTTCATATGCTTATCTTTTTTTTTTAGGTTTGTATCAAATAATGTTGTAGAAACTGTATATATTATGTAACAAACTTCTGTAATGTTCATCATTTATCTCAGTATGTGACTCAGGTTCTGTTGTATGAACTGCCATATGTTAATACAGTTAAGAAAGCTCTAATATTCTCCTTAATCAACAATATGCATATAGTACAGTACAGTTAACCCTCACTTTACGCGGTCCCACATTCCGCGTTTCCACGTTTACGCGGTGCCCTGCCGGAACCCAGGATGCTCACATTCCGCGGTGCGTGTACCCCTTTACGCGGAGAGCGGCTGGCGAGCCGCGCCATTTTTGGATCCAAACCTCCCGCCATCCGCCATGTTGTGTGTGGCCGAACATGGTGCGCACAAGGTCGCCCAGTCATCAAAACATTACCAGTTCTTCACCCGCCACCCACCACAGCGGCCCAAGTCAGTGATAATGATAATTATGGTGAGGATATGGACTTATATGACTTTGGGGAGTTTGACAAAGAGGCCCCCTGCGCCTCTGTGGTGGATAGTGATACAATTGATAACAAGTGACACAGGTGAGGGCCAATAATCTGCCCTCTGCCTCGGAACCAACCGCCCATCCCAGTGTGCCCAGCCATTTTTCTACTAATGTAAGTGTGAAAAAACCTAATATTATTGATATTTCTTTAATTATTAATTGTGTGCATACCATCTTAAAGTTAAGATAATATTTACTACAACATACTGTAGTTGTGTGTCATCAAAAAGTGGAGTTTGGGACGGCCTGACTCCATTTCAATTAATCCCATATGTTATGTTATTCACTTTACGTTTCACTTCATGGGGATCGAGTTACATTAACCGTGTAAAGTGAGGGTTAACTGTATTCCTCTGTTTTGTTATTTATTTTTACAACCTAAAGTTCAGTGTTTATTTCTTCCTGTATTCTTTAACTCTCCCATACAGTGATCCACAACTCTCTTCTTTACAGCCTAACATTTCCCCTCGTGTTGCAGGACCCGGTCTCCGCCAGCCCTAACAAGAAAGTTGTCACGGGAGGCATTGGAGGCACATGACCAGGTGATGAGCAACACCAAAGAGGCAGGCGGGGATGGTATTGGCCTCTCTCGCACCTCTGCTCTCAACAACCGCGCACTTCGATGACAAGAGTAAAAGCAGGTCCCTTGACAACCTACTTGAAGGACCTCCAGATATCCAGGTGTGTGACTACGTAGTTTGATTCAAAGTTTATAATTTTTTACATGTGTCACAGACATTGTTCCATTTCAGTTATCATAAGTTTTACTTATGATGAGGGTGTCTTGTGAGTAGGATGGTCAGGGCAGTCTGTATCTAAGCATGCAACACTCCAGCTGTGTAGGTCAAAAACATAACTTGAGGATGGACAAAGCTACAGCATTCATACCTGCCACATAATTTCACACCTCTAGCATTGCTGGTTTTTAGAGTTAATGGTCTAAGGTCAAAATCACAATCATGAAATAGACATTGATTGTAGGTGTAGTTATTAATATTATTTTTATTTTGGTTGCATCTCAGGTGTAGGTAGTAGGCAGCTACCAAATAGGGAGGTACTACCGCCTGGGATGATATTATTATTATTATTATTATTATTATTATTATATTATTATTATTATTATTATTATTATTATTATTACTATAATTATTATTATTATTATTATTATTATTATCATCATCATCATTATCATCATCATATTTTTGCCCCCAGGCCCTGATATGGGTCAATGACCTGTGCCCTGGTGGGTTAATCCGAAAAAAAAATACAGTAGATCCTTGCCATTCACGAGTTTGCGATTCGCGATTTCGATGATTTGCGGTAAGCAGATGGTGGCTAGCTTTCCAGCTTTTCCCCGCAGCACAACGAGTCATCCCATGCAGCACCTAGTGTTGTACAGGTTGTACCTCTCTAGTCCGGCAACCTCGGGACCTGACCGGTGCCGGACCATGGAAATTCACCCTTTTCCTGGATAGATAGTGACTTGTGCTTATGCTTGGAAACTAGCACCACTTTCTGCATCATGGTCTCTTTGAAGACATATTAAGGGATAAATGTTGTTTAGTAGCTTCTCAAATTTCAGAAGTTTTTAATTCAACGATTTTATTGAACACACAAAAAAAATAAATAAAATTTTGACGGGCGAAACTTGAATTTCGGACGGTTGAACGGCCCGCCAATGTGAGACGACGTGCATAATCGTGTAAACAGTGTCATTTCTCTTATGTACAAAAGATTCATTATTGTTTATTACTGAATGTCTTTTATTGAATTAATATTTATGTGTGCAAAATGAGCAATACAATTCATTAATACGAATATTAAAAACACGAGGAAATGACACAGCATTGTTTTCGTTGATTACAAAACCATTGACTGACTGGTTCAACATATAAACTGAAGAAAATAAGACCTTGGTTGTAGCTGTAGTAAAATTAATATGGTTGTTTAAGTAATGTTATTTAATGTTAATAAATGGAACAATAGAATTAGCTAATGATAATGGTAAAGAAAAAAGAGAGGTCGTATGTAAGTGTACACGCGAAAAATCATCGTCATTACTTTACATAAGAATATGAAAGCAACATTATTTACTGTTCATATATATTTTAATTAATGTTTTAAATTTTTTTATTGAATTAATGTTTGTGTGTGCAAAATTAACAATAAAATTTATTAATACTACGTGAATATTAAAAACACACGAGACGGCCGTCGTGGCATTGTTTATGTTAAAGTTACAAAACCAGTGACTGATTGGTTCTACATATAAAACTGAAGAAAATAAGACCCTGATTGTAGCTGTAGTAAAATTAATGTAAAAAAATTAATATGGCTGTTTGAAGTACCTGTAATGTTATTTAATGTTAATAAATGGAACAATATAAGTAGCTAACCATTAATGGTAAAAAAGTGGAACTGCGCGTATATGGTCGCACATGTGAAAACATATCGTCATTACTCCACATAAGAATAAAGCAACATTTATTTACTGCTTATTTATATTGAAGGGTTAAATGTTGTACTCTGTATAGACAAGCAGAGAGAGAGAGAGCAGCTGAACTGCCGGATGTAAACAAACCTTAATTTCCCGCGGCTTTGTTGTTGTTTTTTTACGGGATTAGCCCACCCGGGCATAGGTCATTGACCCACATTGGGGCCTGAGAGGCAAAAATTTAATACCGGGTACTCCTGTAATAATAATAATAATTCAGATAAAAAAAAAAAAAAGCTGCCTATCTACCTAATGGACAAACTAAAATCGTTCCGGGCCACTGGAGTTTCCGGACCACAGAATGCCGGACTAGAGAGGTACAACCTGTACTCTCAAAACTTTAGTGTTTCTGTGTGAAATGGCCTAAAAGTGCTAGTGACGCTAGTGAAGTGAAATGTAAAAGGCAGAAGTCAGTGATGACCCTGACAAAGAAAGTTTTATTATTAGATAAGTTAAAAGAGGGGATGAGTGCTGCCACAGCTGGTCAGTTGTTTGGTATAGGTCTACAGTATGGCATAGACACTAATCTGAACATCATAACTAGTAAAGTGACCCATTT